TTTAATTCCGTGTTTTTATATTCATCTACCTTTTAAACCTTCTCTGGACTTCCACATATAATTCAAGACCAAAATTAGCCAAATCAGTCCAGCCGTTCTCGAGTTTTAGCGAGACTAACGAACAGCAATTCATTTTTATATATATAGATAGATAGATAGATAGATTAGTTCTTACCTTCAAGCAGGGGCTGCGGTTGTGACAGAACGGAGTCACGGGACGCAGCCCTGCGCACGGGCTTTGCTGGACGCCCTAGCGACTTCAGCCCCCCGCTGAGGTGAGTGGAGCTCGAGTGCCTCGCACGGCCACCAGGCCCGTTCGCGCCTGCTCCCATCTACAAAAAAACAAAGATTATTATTTCATATGTACGATTGCTTATTAAGGCCTTTGTACGAAGAAGGAACAAATAGCTTAGAGGCGTTATTAGTAGACTTTTTTTTTTTTTTTTTTTTTTCCACAGAGAAAATCGCGCGCATTCCCACCCGCGCGGCAGGGCTGGGGTGTGTGGGAGTTCACCCTCCACTAAAACACTCCTGCCGCTCCCGAGCACGACCGGACGCCCTACCGTTGCGGACCGGGGCCGCGCGCCCAGTCGCGCGCCTGATTCGAAGGGCGTGGACAGGGTGCACGGCAGAGGCACGGTGTGACATTCCATCCAGCCGTCCCGGACGCCGAGGCGGTGTGCCGCGAGGCGACACGGGGTCGACCACCGGTTCCCTCGTTCAGGCGGCCGAGGGGCGTTTCATTAGGTAGCCCCTTGACATTACGTTCAATTCGTTACATTAATGAAGCCGATGACGAGTTTAAAAGAGATGACCTTTTATGAAGAAAAATAACGATTTTATTTGTATTTGAATAGTGTTCAGAGCTGCAGGGTGAATACTTTCGTCTCTTAATTAACCTCTAATTAAGGATCGTAAATTTAACTTTATGATCTTATAGAAATAGCCCTGCAACAATTTCCAGATGGTTTAACCATTATATAACTTGATATTAATTAGGCGTCCCGCTAGATTCTATGGAAAGAACGGAAACTTACAGAAATCGCACTCTTGTTTATTATCGATTTTTTTGAGGTCGCCCGGTTTTTTTTTTTTTTTTTCCACCTAAGCGATAGCCCTAGCGCGCTATTTCAGCGAACCCTAACTTTAGTAGGGTGAGCTCACGGGGCTCAAACCTGACGATGTTGCTAACACGAACCCTAGCAAGAGCCGTGCTTCGCAGAATCTACCACCGGATCGGAAACGCGACCCACTGAGAAGATCCGGCGAGAAACTCAGTGGGCTGTGTCTGAGAGTTAATTTACTCGTCGAGCCCTTCGTCGCAAGCGACGGGTTCGACGAGAACGGTGACCGGTGCTTGAAGTACCTAAAAGCACCGTTAGTGGATCGGGAGGATCCGAGATGACGTGTTTTGGGCGACGTCGACTGCTTTCCATTCTGTCCGCAGGATCGGGAATGAGTCGCCCGGATTGAAAAGTTAAAAGTATTGAATCGACACCGTCATTCAAAATCACGGCGTTAACAAACGCATCTATCTGTCTTTACGAGCTTCATTTAAAAGAAAATTTAGTGGTGTTATGGGAAATCAACAAAAAAGAGTTAAAATGTGTTGTGTTGTAAAAAAACATTCATCACTTTTGCACGAATTCAAGGTGTACTACGATGAAAGAAACGAAAGTACACTCTTCCCTGTTAATCCCGAAACCATAAACCTTGAAATTCGACCAACTCCAGTTTACAGGAGAAATTTAAAGAGAATATTAAACCATACAGTTCTGGTTACTACTTACCAGTCTTATTTCCTAAAATAGGACTGGTACGAGGCCCTCTCGACTCGACTTTGATTCGCACTTGACTGTTTATACGCTAAGGGCATACTTAATAATATGTGTGTAATTATAATTAGATGATAGAGCTGCCGTTTATGACTCTAATTAAAAACGTTGCTACACCGCAAAAATTTACTTTTGAAACCAAGCATTATTAATTTTGCCAATAAACATGGTTTCATTTATTTTTTCAAAAAAAATCGGTTGTCTGTAGATAGTTGAACGTGACAACGTCATAAGAAAATACTGATGGAATGGTTTCATTTTTCAATTATCGCAATTATCGTTGCTATAAGCAATTGACACCACATTCACTTTTCACTGAACATCATAGTTGACGAAAACATGTATATGTATTATTGTATAGCAGCTGTCTACGCGGATGCATCGCTCACGCGAGGTAACGCCGCATGAGTCATGTTTTTTCGTGCGTGCAGCCGGCTCCATCGAATTATAAGTCGTTGTCACGTCAAAAATATTTACTTTACTTTACATATTTACTTTACATTCACATAACGACATGAGTTCTAAATTTCAGTTTCGTAGTAAAACGGTTGCGCCACTATTCAAACCTAAGCAGATTACTGCTTTACGGCAAAAATATGTACTTGGTGGTACCTACTCGTCTGTGCGGGCTTACAGTACGCCATATCATCATATAAATCACATTAATTACGTTTACAATTAACGCCATGTATTTTTTAGGCTTTATACGGTATTCTTTTATATAGTAGATATCGCGGAACATGTGATTTAAAACAAAAAAACCCTTCAATCTTTAATTAAATGCGAGTTTTTGAGATCGATTGATCTAATTACTCTTTCACGACAAACTACCGTAACGTTGTCAGGTTCTGTGAATCTGTTATGACCCCTCGAGGTTACTAGAATAGGTAGGAAAAAATAATAATAATAATAATTTATCTTCAATACTGCGCATATTGTGATAAGGTTTCTCACTCTGAAGTCCTAACCACTGGTGGCTTGTGTCGTAGACACCGCCATCAGCGACAATCTATTTTTATAGTGTTTTTTTAAATTGTATTTATAACTGGCGGTAGGACCTCTTGTGAGTCCGGACGAGTAGGTACCACCACCCTGCCTATTTCTGCCGTGAAGCAGTGATGCGTTTCGGTTTGAAGGGTGGGGCAGCCGTTGTAACTATACTTGAGACCTTAGAGCTTATATCTCAAGGTGGGTGGCGCATTTACGTTGTGGATGTCTATGGGCTCCAGTGACCACTTCACACCAGGTGGGCTGTGAGCTCGTCCACACATCTAAGCAAAAAAAAAGATGTGTGGTGTCGTGGGACACCGGATAGCAACCAAGTTCCTTATTATAAAA